CAAAATGAGTATTTACCAAACAAAGGTGGATATCAGAACAAAACAGAGGTGAACTGACAAATATTAGAATAATTGTACTTACAAGAGAAACAAAAAGTAGAGAAAGCAGACAGGTTTAGTATGTGGCACTTCTGCTGTTGTTGTTTTTAAGAGTCACCAAATGACGATGTATATCCTCAAAATGTAGAATAATCAGCATATTTTTTTAACTATAAGTTGCTCCGGAGTATAATTTGCACCAGCCAAAAAATGCGTAACGAATAAGAAAAAAACATATATAAGTTGCACCGGACTATAACTTTTTTGGGGAAATTTATATTATAAAATCAGAGACCAGCAAGTGACATTTCATCTCAAAGGGCAAATTATAGTAATATAACAATAGAATAGAGAACAACAGGCTGTTAACTTAACATATTAAGAGTTATTCAGATAACTAAAGCACAAACAAGAGAACAAGTTTACCAAATTCTCCATCTCACTCGGAATCACTAAATCCATTGAATACTTCATCCTTAGTGTCACTTCTGAGCAACTCTACAGCCGTGAGGTAAACGGAGTGCTGCTTCCTCGTCTGCGTAGCTGTAAGCCTCAGTTCCAGTTAGAATTATTCTGGCCTTTCTGAATCCTGACAGGATGGTTTCGGTTGTCACTAAAGTCCAGGCTTTGTCGATCCAACCAATGACTTCCAGGAAAGTTGCATGGCGCACCCTCCTGATTATAATGAAGCTGTGTTCTCTATCCCCACCTTTCGTCAGTCCTTCACAAGTTTCTCGCTCACTCCAAACTTTCTTTCTGCTGCTCAATTACCGCTTTCGGTTGAATAGTTCACTACTTGCAGCAGGACAGAGGTTCTTTCTGCAGGAGACATGCGCAGTAGAGGTTGAAGTGACAGAGGTACAGAAGTAATAGTAGCAGCAGATACTGACACAAAAGCCTAGAGCACACTCTCGTGACTGTCAGTGTGTAAATTTTTGCAAAAAGTTGCAACGGAGTATAAGTCACAGAACAACCCAAACCATGAAGAAAAGTGTGACTTATAGTCCTAAAAATATTGTTCTTCTGATTGGTCACAATTCTCTCAATGTGACAAAAAAGTGGTGATTGATGCAACTGTTTGATGCATTTCCCTGATTGGCTAATCCAGCAGTCAATCACACCCATCTGATCTCTGGAATATTCACCAGTGACCAGATTCACATCTTCATAAAATATTGAAGAGATGTGTATTCTGGATCCCAGGCAATTTGTTTTCCGAATACACTACACTTTTACATGACCTTTGTGGACCCTTTTTATTACAAACAAAGCAAGGCAGCTGACATTTAATGGGAAACGCTGCTTCTGATTGGTCACAATTCTCTTTATGTGAAAAGAAAATGGTGATTAATGCAACTGATAGTAAAATAACAAAGCCCCACTACATTGACAAGATAGCAGTATTTCTAACATCTACAACTGCTACAAAATACTCTTATAATGTAGTGTTTTGTATTTATTTTTGGCTTGTATTGTCTGTTGTGGACTAAAGGTTATATGCAGAGCAGGTGGAGAACCATTCGATTGGAGTGATGGCCTGGAGCCAATGTGTCTCCGAAGGATTGGACGTGAGGACAAGGACAGCAGCCGAGCCGTGTGTTCACAGACTAATGATGGACATGAAGACTTTTTCAGCATCATTTACACCTGTCTATGGGACACCGGGGAGAAGAATGGACCACAATGCCAAAGTTAAAGGGCCTAATTAAGCGGTTTGATCTAAGTTATAAAGCTGTTTCTTGGTCAAAAACATAACCGGAGTTGTGTTTTGTTTCACTCACACATTTAGCACAAAAATCTGCATATTTAGGATGAGTTCTTCTCTCAAACAGAAAACACTCTACAATATTTGACCTTGTGATGTCATGTGGTAATACAAGAAGTGCTCCACTGTGTTTTTAAACTCTCTGAACAAAAGGTAAAAGGTAGCTGTTCACTTGAAAACCGCTTCATGACATCTTAAGGTGAATTTTGATCTTTGGAGATGTAGACAGACTAATAATCCAGGATTACTCAAACAGATTGGTTCTGGCTCGCTATGGGGCAGAGGGAGTAGTTGCCAGACTGACACCAAACATGATCGTGCAATCAGATTTGTTTGTTTCAGTGACGCCTTATTTGACACCTGCTCCTTATTATCCCCTTTTCTTTTTTGCTATTTATTCTGAATTTATTATTACCATTTATATGTTTTACTCTTTTATGTTATTATATTGTGATGTGTGAGCTACTGTGCCCAAATAATTTTCCTTGTGGATCAATAAAGTTTGTCTAAGTCTAAGCTCATAAGTCAACTATTAGTTACAAATAAAATCAATATGCGCTCACCAACAAATTTACATATTAATTTAATGCTTTGCTTAAAGATTCTGGAGAAATCAGCAATATTTTTCAGTCCAGTGTTTTTTTTTCCTTTATTTTTTTCTCACAAGCAGCCATATTTGTTTTGATACAGACAAGCATTTTCCTTATTGGCTAATAGGGGTGTGCAAAAATATCAAAATATCAATATATCGTGTCATTTAATGTGATGATACAGTATCGATATCACTGGCTGCTGTAACGACATATCACCAAGAGTATTTTTTGGTATATTTTACGTTATAGCGCTACAGTTTTGTTGCTTGTTGCTTGTTTAGAGGAAGGAAACTCATTTAAGCAACACATTTGACATTTTCACTGTTTTGAATCGAATTGAATTGAACTGAAATATATTGAATCAAATCAAAAGTGCACTGTATCGAGATATGTATCTTATCGTGGCCCATTTATCGAGCTATGTATCGTATCGGCAACTTCTTAACAATACCCAGCCCTATTGGCTAATCCACCTGTCAATCATGCTCATCTGAACTGATTCACCTGTGATTGGACTCGCATCTTCGTAAAATATTGAACATGTGTGCATTACGTATCTCAGGCAGCCAGCTTTCCAAATATAGTGCATTTCTACATGACCTTTGTGGACCCTTTTCATTACAAACAAAACAAGGCAGTTGACATTTAATGGGAAAAAGCTGATCTTTTCATTGTATATAAACACCTACTCCGACTGAAAACCTCTGAGTGATGCTTTTAAAGACTTGTCACTCTGCTCCGAGACTGTAAACGTCGTTGTGTTTCAATCTGATGCCTAAGAAAAGCTGAGGCACTACATCTCAGGCTTTATGCGGTATCATAAATATTTCAATGTTAAAACAAATAAAATATAGAAGAATACTGTGCTGCTGTCAATATTTTCCAAAAGACCTCACCAGCCTGCAGCTTCAACCCATATCCCCTTTCTGTTTAATATGCTTATCACGGATCTGGCTACACTCCTGCTTCAATTTTACATTCATGTACTGGGAAAAGCATATTTCAGATAGAACCAAGATAGGGGGTGGAAATTTTTTCTCTATGATGCTAGGGGGAAGGATCACATTCCTAAATATAGGTGTTCAAACAGGGTGACAAATTGCAACGTTCAAAGGACAATTCACACAGAAAAACGGTCTCTCTGCCAAGGTGCTGGTTTAAACTTGCAATGAAGTGTTGGATAGGTTAAATTATATGTCAAATTACATTATATAGTAAAAATGTATTGCGAGTTCTTCTTTGATAGTCCTGATGTATGTTATATTGAGGTTGCCACTGATTTAAACCAGATTTACTTCCTGTTTAGTTTAGATAAAATATACTGTATATGTATATTGATGTGGAAAATGTACACATATTTTAAGTTATGTCATCACACCTTAGCAAAGTAGAAACTCAATTTGTCAGCAGAACTGAAGGAGCAGCTTGGATGAGTGGAGAAACATATTAAACCAATAAACTTTTGTCCAGTTGACAAATTGATTTTCTCCTTTGCCATGGATTCTACCTGGATGACAGGGATTTTTCACTCATCAGATCTTAGTTAAACGTGGACTAAATAACTTTTTTAGGAGGAACATTTTAGGTAGTCATAGTAATGATGAAATATTAAAGACTAAAGATGTCCACCACTTTTTCGTATCCATGGAGATCTTATTGCTTTGCCTTTAATGTCCCAGAAAATATTAAATCCATCTCTATAAAGACAAGAGAGCAGTATAGCCAGACCAAATTACAGGTCAGATCTGTGGACAGGCAATCTCTCTCCCAGTAAGAATATGTATTCAAGATATTTCTGAGCAATAAAAAACACCTGTAATGAAATAAATACTACATAGACAGTTTCGATGCTATACTGTGGAAGAGTAAGAGCAAAGCAATGACATCTCCATGGAGGCAAGCAGGTAGTGGACCCTTCTCCAGAAAAGTTACATACTACTACTAATATTTTCAGCATAACTCTGACTATTTTAAGGGCCCATATTAAGCCAATTTCTGATCTATGTTATAATGTTGTTTCCTCATCACAAACAAACCCGGTGTTGTGTTTTGTTTTATTCACACAATGTTGAACACACAAATCCTGCGTATTTAGGCTGAGTTCTTCTCTCAAACAGAAAACACTCTGTTCCCCTTGTGACAGAGCATTTTGAGTAGACAGACTAATAACTGTTACTCAAACATGTGTAAATTAAACAAAACACACCTCCAGATATGGTTTTGATGAGGTAACAACATTATAACGCAACTTAAATCTCACAGGAGTCAAATTTCCGTAATATAGGACCTTTAAAATGTTGTTTCAAATATCCACTACACATGTCCACACTATTTAATTTCACCTGTCTCAAACTTGAGTGCAGTGCAGTTTACAGTATGTCTGCTTGTCTGTACATTGTCCAGACAGGGATTGGTGAATGTGGGAGTGTGGGCTTGTTGTGCAATAACTGAGGGCTATGTTGATACAGACAGTGACAAACAGTGGGTGGTAGTGACAAGCTGTCCAGTCTTCATGTAGGAGCTCAAATCAAGCAAAGACACTAGGGCCATCTAAACTATAGGGCCAGTGCCTCTCAGTGTGTGATGAACAAGTACAGACTCACCCCACACGGCTGGAAGATCAGTCCGTCTACTTCATGGCTGACCTGCGCCGTGAAGCTGCCTTCCAAAAGCTGAAAACAACACAAATGGTGGTTAAGAAACGAAATGGAGAACAAAATAGACAGTTGTTTTCATGGAACACTCTCATTTTGTTTTATTCACATATTTGTAGAGCAGTTATCCCAAAGTGCTGTGAAATGGCAGTGCACACTAGACGGTGAATAGTCACAGTTTTAGTGTTGAAAATGTCTATTGCAGATCAACAACTTGAATTAGTCAGATAACAGAGATTATATGACCAGCTAAAAGGCCTCTTTGAATTAGGCTCTCACCAGAAAAACATCATAGTTAGTACGGTTTGCAAAAATATCGAAATATCGATATATCGTATTGTTTAATGTGATGATACAGCATTGATATCGTGGGCTGCTGTAAGGATATATTGTCAAGAGTGTTGACCAAGTTTTGTATTCACCCTGTGTGTCTGTGTGTGCGTCTGTCCACCCGTGATAATACCGCCATTTATTTACAGATTGTCACCAAATTTGGTACGTGGTTCAAGCCCCCGTGCCCGATTCCGCAAAAAATGTTTGGTGACAATCCAAGGTCATTTGAGGTCACACCAATCAATTGAAATGTCATGCCCTTATAAAGGATAGGTAAATTCAGCAATTTCTGAACCATTTGCGGGCTAAAATATTCACCCAATCATCACACAAGTTGGCACATACATAACCGGCATACACTGGATGTTACAGGTTGAAACCGGTCGAGGTCACTTGAAGGTCAAGGTAACAAGGTCAAATATGCATTTTTGGTCATAACTATGTAAAGGATCGAGCTAGAGCAATGGGCGTGGTCTCAAAATCTCAGAAAAATTATACACAGACATTCTCATGTGTGACCAATATCACACAAATGTTCATGGGCACTGTACAGCTAGACACATTGCATTGTGGATATAACGATCATGTAATATGGGCTGGGCTCCTCATAAACCGGCTTCTGTGGTGATGAACTGCCCACACCGATGCCTCATGGGGGACCAGGTTGCTCTCTCTGACTGCGCTCGTTTTTTATTGAACTGTATCGAACCGATTTGAAATATATTGTATCGAATCTAAAGTGCACTGTATCAAGATATGTATCGTGGCCTATGTATCGAGGTATGTATCGTATTGGCAGCTTCGTAATGATACCCAACCCTAATCATTAGAGTGGTCAGATCCATTGACCCACAGGATGACATTGCAATTCAAGCTCCCACAGATAAATACTGCCATTGTGTCCGTGGGCAAGACACTTCCAGATCAGAGTCTGCGTACACTGGTGTATTTGTGTGTGTGTGTGTGCGTGTGAATGGGTGAGTGGTACCTTGATGAAAAGTGCTTTGAGTGCCTTGAAGGTAGAAAAGCGCTGTATCAATGTGACCATTAAATTGAGTCATAGATCAAGACCGCTTTAAACTTTTCACAAAAAAACAAATTTGTCTCATTCAGGTTATTTTTTTCAGTATTGACACTTGTTCAAATTAGCAGATTCAACACTAGTTTTATGATATCGCATCACTGGAGACATCAAAAACTGAGCGTTGTCGACCGAAATAGCTACAAATCATTAGGTTTGAGAAGTATGAGCGGATTTCATCTTCCCCATTAACACCAAATGCCCGGCACAGCTGTACTGCCATATGAGGTAGAGAAACCCCAGGGACTACATGGAGCTACTGTACGATTAAAGCACATTTTCCACATGAGGAGCAGAGGCAGAAGGCATGGTGACGAGAAGACAGGGGAATATTGTGGAGTCTGGAAACAGTTATGTTACAAACAGATGTAAAATGCAGTGTCAAAAAGTCAGTCAAGGAAGAAGCAAAACAAGAAAGCATTGAGCCCTCGAAAATGAGTCTGTGTTGAGATGTCAAAACATTTGCTGAGTGCTTTGTCTCCACAGCAAATGTAAAAAGTGACAACAGTTGTGTGAATTTTCTGAAAATAAGTTGGGGAAATTGCAATGACTTGTCTGTAGATGCAATTTATGGACTTGCTTGGATCGTCTCGCACTCAAATGTCCAAAATCCTTCAGTGGTGACATTTATGATCTAGAGATATAGTAGTCTAATGTTGGTCATAAACTGAAGTAATATTTATGCCAAAAACTGGCAGCAGTCTCTTAGAGGTTATTGTGGTCGCCTATGAAGCCAAAAGTTGTTGATGTGTTCTTGGACAAGACATTTTATTGACCTTGCCCATGTTTAAATGCGGGGCGCAGATTGGCAGCAGAAATGGCTTAACCTTGATGTATATGGGGAGTCTAATAATTATGCTTTTTTTAAAATTATGCCTTGATTTAAAATAGCTCAGTTATATAGTGAATTGGTGACCTAATTTGTATCACAAGTCTTTCAAATGTGGAAGACATCTCCTCACAATCAGAACAAAATATCTAACTTCTTCTACCCGAGATAAGTAATCGTTTGGTGCTTTGATTGATTCTGAGAAAATCCATGCTGTTTCTCAGTCCTTTTTGTTGCTTTTTCCCTTTTTTATGTTTAAGTCACCATGCTTATATTTGACTCGAGTGGAGCATGAGTCTCTCTGATTGGTTAATCCACCTGTCAATCAAGCCCTCTGAAATCAGGGAGACAAGATACGGCTCCAGATCCACTCATCTTTGTAAAGTTCTGTGAATTGGGAGGGTTTTTTTTCCCTCCAGAGGCAGCATATATGATAACTGACCTTATATAGTCACTGGAGAAGGACATACAGGTCATTAATGTGTAACTTTATCCGTATTTCTACTTTAAAAATCACACAAACTCATACAAACTTCAATCAATTTGGTCCTTGAACGCAGCACTGGTAACTAAACCTGAAAGGCTAATCCATGTACCAGACACCACACATCAATGAGTGAATCAGTGGAGTCAAAGTGTATGAAATTTGTAGCATGTGGCCTTCCCTATAATAAAACCAGGTCTACAGTCAATAAGAGGGTCTTCAATTTGTGTTTAATATTCTGCACCAGCGCCTTTAGAGAGCTCTACCGCTGTGACTGAGAAGGAAGAAAATCAATCTAAAAAACATCGTATCATCATATGCCCCAGAAAGTGTTCACGGTAATGTGATACCAAACGCCAAATCTAATATACGAGCACGCATAACTACACTTCCAGGAGTTTGAGGAGAGATTTTCAAAGGAAAGAACTCATGAAATGTGGAATGATAAAGTAAAAAAGGTGTTTCTGGTATCCATAAATGGGGTTGTATTCAGAAAAAGTTGACATTTGAATGATGAAATGGGGTGTAAGATGAGGGTGCGTGTCTTTTTTATCTTGGAAGCACAGCAGATTCCATTGTACTTTGCATTGAAGTGTTTGTACTGTATTTCAATTAGCAGCAATGTGAATATTTATATGAGCTATAATATCACAGCATGGATTTTCTTCCCCGATCTATAGTAGTGCATTATAGAGTGAAACAAACATGACCTTTATCGATCTCTTAGTCTTTGTTGATAACACCGCAGGAATGTCACTTAGTACAATTATCAACTAACTGGACTGTTGTGATATCAATGAATATTATACTGCTCAGTTATAGCCTTCCTCTGCGGCGTCTCGTATGACGGTACAGTGACGAGTTTGTAGGTAGACGTGATGGAAGGAGCTGAAACATCACAACAACAAACTAGCAAGGGCTCCTGTCTGACTGACTTTGTGCTAAATAACAAAATTGCTCATTTTGTTCTTAATTAAAAGTTAAGAGAAAGTCACGATGATTTGAAACAATATTTGTATGCTAAGAAATAATAATTTCTTAGTCATGTTCTGTGATTCATGCTTCAAAAGCACAATTTTCATTTGTTATACCTGTTTCTCTTCTTATTTCCCCTGTCAAAGTTGTATTTGGAGTGATTCACGCAGGTCTGAGCTTCTTTAAATCACTAATTTTCATTACTCAGTGTTGCAGAAAACTTCATAGCTTTTTCTTTTGATGACATTCAGTTTAAAGTTTGACAAGTATGTGTGTACTTACAAAAGTAGTAATGCAGTGCAGCCAGTGCATACTCTATAACCCAATCCTTTTGTAATCATGTATGTCAATAAAGATAACACAAAAATAAACTCCTACAGATTGCATCTGCCCATTTAAAAGAACCAATACAGTATATTCAGTTGGTGTAGATATAGTCGAAAAGACAGGAAATTGCCTTGGTCAATGAGCGAGACAGCTAATGCTCTGGGTATCAGGTATCATACACAACCCATCTGCCCTGGCACACACAGGGCTCTGCTTTTGAGGGAGGGTGGAAAAACAACATTGAGCTTCGAGTTGCCTTTTAAAATACACTCCTCCATCTCATGCCTGAATGAGAGAAAATGAAATGATGAAAATTTAATTAGCGATGCCAGGGCTGAGGACATTTCAATGGCCCTGACTATAACGCGGTGCTGTTTGGAGTCCTGGAACAAACATGTGAATGAAGGGCATTCGAGGCATAGTCGCTTTTGAGCAGGCTATGCAAATGGCCTTAGAACATCAAATACTGAGTCCCTCATACATAGCAGAGGAAAACACCGACTCACTGGGATGGAAGCTGCTGACAAGAACTATCTGAATAAAGTTATTAGATGTGTTCCAGTGCGTCAACTAATCAAAAAAAAGCCTCAAAATTCTGTAAACATCTATATTAGCTGAAGCATTCACTCAAATGAAATCATTTTCAAGGGCTATAGGCGTGGGAAATGTAAGCAAAATGCACATCTACACCATTCTAAAATAATGGCCTTTACACATAGAAAAGATAGACGAAATAGATGAGATGATACACTAACATTTATGTCAACTGTGTAACACAAAACCACAAAATTTAAACATGACTTAGGCAAGCTTTTCTGACACATGTGACTCAAAAACCTGGGCCACACTCTTGACATAGGCCAATATATTATTTGCAAATATCTCATGATCCTTTGAAACTAATTTTGTTTTATCAAAAAGTTTTCCGTGAGAGCGCATCAATATGCTCAGTGACATGTGGCCAGGGAAGGATTTACCTCACCAGTCAT